TCACAAACTTGACATAATTAGATTAATTCCTTTGAAATTCTAATTCATATAACATTTAACTTATTTTTCATTAGTAATTTGTTAGTTAAATAAAAAAAATGATATTGTCATTTTTTATACTGAAATGTATATTGTACATTTTTTTAATTTTATTTTTATTTTTTCACATTATTTATATTGATTTTGGTTATTTTAGTCTTATTAAAAAGAAAATTATAAAAGTATATAAAAACATTTTGTAATATGTGAAAAGTATATTGGGGATGTTTTAAAAAAAATAAAAAAAATCAGCTTTTAGGGAAAAAAAAAGAACAATTATATGTCACATTAACTTTTTTCACTCACAAATAAGAAGCTTTTTTTAACAGCTTTTTAATTGCGTTAACTAATTTTTTTTTGAAAAAGTCAAAAGATTAAATTCATTATAAAAATTAATTTCAAACGCATTAAAATTATAAAAATTTTAACATTTTGTATTTTTTAAAGACAGTGCAAACCAAAAAAAAAGACAGCTGCTCTTAAGACTAATGTAGGACATTTAAATATATATATATATATATTCAAAGTCAAGCAAATATTTGTAATCTCGTTTGGAAATTGACCATTTTAATAGGTTATTTTAATTTTTAGTTATTTTAACAGATTAAAATTTTTGTGTTCAAAAATATGGTTAGATTTTTGTATAATTAGCTGTAATATTTGTGAGAAAAAAAAATAATTATGAGTTTGATGTGATATTTTATCTTATTAATTATTTTAAATTATTTTATTTTTTTTATAAATTTTAATTTAAAAAAATCAAAACCATGGTTAGGTAATGCCATCCTCAGCATACGTGGGATGTTTTAAAATCTTACAACGTTATGGTTTGCCACTTGTTTTTAAAAGATTACACGTCTGAGGTCTCTGGTACATGGTGTTGCTGTTGTGGTCCATCACCCATCAAGAAATTCTCTAAGAACATCTCCAACCACATCCTTTTTTCAAGGAGGTAGAAATAATATTTTTTATTCAAAAAATAAATATAGAGGAGGTCACTGTTCATTCAAACTCCAACCACAAACCTTTATTTCCTTCATTCAAACTCCAATCAAAAAGTAATTTTTGTTCATTAATAAATATTTAATTTTAAAATTTTTGTAAAACATATTTAATAGTATACTCATTTTAAAGGTATGATTTCATACTTTTTATTGATGTCAATTTTATAAAAATTAAATTTACACATTAAAAGTTATTTCGAATATAATTAAGAAATATAGAGTGAATGGTGTTTGAGTCTCCTCTATTTTTTCATCCTCTCTCTATATTTGGAGGATCAATTCATCCTCCTCCCAAATGGAGGAGGATATAGAGGATGGGTTGGAGTTATTTTTGGGAGAGGATCCTCCATATTTGAAGATATGGAGGATGGGTTGGAGATGCTCTAATATTATAATTAAAGATATTGACACATCAGATTTTATATATGTTTCTAACATATTTGTTGCAATTATTATTAGAGCACCGCTACAGACCCCCAGTGGGGGTCGCACCCCCAGTGAGGTGTCGCACCCCCACTGGCCGAAACTCAAAAAAAAAAATAAAAATAAAACAATTTTTTTTTTTACCCAATCAGCACCTGCCACCTCACTGGGGTCCGAAGCATTAATCTTATTATTATTCTTTTATAAATGGGAATAGACAAATATCCAACTTGAGTTGGACATATGCATAAGAGGTCCACTGTTGAAAAATTGTGTTGTTTGGCAAGTTTTTTTTTCTCCATTTTATAAATTTTTTTAAATGCACTTGTTAATTTCTCTCAACATTGATATGTATAAATATTTTTTAAGTACAAGATTTTATAGTACTTGTGATGCGTTAAAATGAAATTAAATATGTTCATTTAAATCTTGAATTTTCGAAGAAATCGTGAAGAGATGACAAATGAGGAAAATTTTAAAAATAAGAGAAAATTTTAACTTCTATTTTGTACAATTTCTTTTCTTCTCCCCCCCCCCCCTACAAATTTACCATTTAAATATTAGATTTGTTTGGTACAACTTATTATAAATTAAAATTTATAATAAAAAAGTAAAATTTATAATAAAAAAGTATAAGTTAAAAATATTCCTCTTTTAGCTTTTAAATAATTAATTTTTAAATTTATTTAAATTATTTATGCTTAATAAGTTATATATAAAAATTATATCAAATAATCTGACAAAAATTGTTAAAATAAAAAAAATATATATCTAAATTACACCGACCAAGTCAAGTCATTAGAGAGTACTCGGACAATCTTCTTTTGAAAAAAGTCCTAAATTCAGACTTGGAGGTGGTTCAAATAGTGTCAAGGCAATTAAGGTGACAAGGGATTATTTAAAGTTAAAAATTAATAATTAAAAATTAAAAATATATTTTCTTCAATTTTTAACTTTTGTAGTTTATTTAAGCTATTTGTGTTTAATAAGTTACAAGCAAAATATGTACCAAACAATCTGATACAGATTTTTAAATTAAAATAAACTATAATTGATGTGAGAGTGTCCATACCATATGGTTGTGTAGTTGGATACCACTTGGTAGCACTTATAAGTAAATTTATTTAATTTATTTATAAAAAGAAACTAATTAATAGTGTTCAGCTGTAATTTTAAATTATATCTTTTTTAATTTATTTGACCAAAAAAAAAAAAAAAGAAGAGATTTTCTTAAACAAAATTTGCAACCTTTTTATTAGCTTATTTATAGACATAAAAAGTCCCATCTCTTTGCTCATAATTATAGGGACATTCTAGATATTTACACAACAAAAAAACTATCTGAACCAAACATGCTAAAAAAAATTTATTTGATAAATTATTAAAAAGTTTCTGCCAAACATATTTACAATTTATTGTAGTTTTTAAGTTAATAATCTAAAAAGCCTATAGTTAACTTGTAAATGATGTCCAAAGGACCCTTTGTATTGAGCAATTATTTAGTAATCTTAAAGTCAAATTGTGATATTTATCATGTTGTCACTTTAAAATCAACATAAAAGTGATGTCACATTATTTGAATTAATAAAAAAAACAAATAAAGCACTAAATGTACATGTCAATACCAAGAGTAGTACATAGCTCTCAAGTTTGCATTTGGAAAATGAAAATAATAACTACTAGAATAATTGTATTTCAATATTATTTGATATGACATTTTACATAATGTTAATCATATTATTTAATAAGAGTTTACTTTTTAAGCACTGTCATTAATATTTTATGAAACTATTTTTGATAAGAGCTTTACTTTTTATCTAGCACTATCATTAATATTTTATGAAAGTAATTACTAGTAAATAATGTAATAGTTAATTTAATGTCATATCACATGGTTTACTGACCTCATGCATTAGTCATGTGACAGAAGCCATGCCTAATATGGGTATAGCTTGTCCAGTCCTTAATCGGACTGGATCGTATTGTTAGACCTGTGGGGGTTCATCACAGGTTCCATTTTGATAATCTGAACCGTTTAATATGTAGAACTCGTCAAGTATTATAAGTTTATAAAAAATCACTTTAATCGGATATCGGTAGCTATGTGATCAAATCAGTTTTGGATTAAAAAAAAATAGACGGTGAATAAATTAACGGTTGACAAAAATCTGTTTTGATCACATAGCTATCGATATCCGATCAACGTGATTTTTTACAGACATATAGTACTCGACGAGTTCTACACATCAACGGTTCAGATTATCAAAATAGGACCCGCGGTGGATCTCCACGAGCCCAACAGCACGGTCTAGTCCGATTAAGGACTGGACAGAAGCCATGCCTAATATTAGAATTATGGACAAATTGCATTTCAGTTTATCACCAAAAATCTATATATATATATATATTTGCATTTCAGTGGTAAAACTTACCCACTTTAATTATTATAGTAATAAACTTATTCCTAATTTTATAATTTTTTTTTTTGTCTTCTGATTTGTAATTTCCACGAAAATTATCAACTTCTCCTATCATAATTTAGTCAACACCTTATTCACTCTTTCATTAAACTTATAATAAATAAATAATATGAGAATTATCAACTTCACCTATCATATTTTAGTCAACACCTTATTCATTCTTTCATTAAACTTATAATAAATAAATAATATTAGAATTATCAACTTCTCCTATCATATTTTAGTCAACACCTTATTCATTCTTTCATTAAACTTATAATAAATAAATAATATTAGAATTATCAACTTCTGCTGTCCAATTTTAGTCAACACCTTATTCACACTTATTTATATTTAAATGACATTCACATAATGTAATAAACAAAACATCAAATAAAGATTGCATCCTAAAAAATGAGGTTGAAAGAATATATAGATAACCCCAAAAATGAGGTTTTGTGATGTGCCTCTGTTTCTCGCAAGGTATGCTGCTGCTTGTCGCAATGCTTGCTCCAAACATAGCAACATATGTGAATTTGGCTCCACTTGTTTACAACCTTCACTCAAAAATAATCTAGACTGCGTCTTGTGAGGAGGACCCTTACACTTTTCATTGCAACTCTTACACTTTTCATAAATAAATAAAAAAACACTAGTAGTCAGAATCCATCTAACTTACAAGGCGGTTATGAATTCAACTACCCCTCTCCTCCCTTGTACTAAAAAACTAAAAAATAAAATAAAAATATATATGAGTCATTTATTTTTAGCATGTTTAATTCATGCTTAAATTTCAAATCTTCACAATTGTATAAAAATGGGCTATTTTTTTGGACAGCTATGTTTTGATCTCAAATTTGTTGGGAAAAAAGGAAAAGAAAAAGACATGCATATTCAAAAATATATATATATAGATAACCCCAAAAAAAATTGCATTTTTAAGGCAAGCTCAATCCCAATCGAATAAAGAGAAGAAAAAAGAGACATGCTTATTCATATTCGTCTCGTTTTATAATCCCAACCAAGCAAAAGTAATAAGTTCAGCTCTTCTCTTTCAATATTTGACAACACTCTGTTATTTAAAATATATATATATATATATATATTTAAAGGGTTAAATATATATTTTTCTGAACAAACATCTTCAAAATCAGATCTAGTGTAGGAAAAAGATTTAATGAAACAATGCTTACACTTTAGCCCAGTTTCTATGTTGACATGTGTATATTATCCGTGTGTGGAACATTGAATGTCTCTTTCTGTTCAAAATACTCCGCTTAAGAAGCCCCTGGAAGAAGTCAAGTAGATCGATCAACACAACGATGAGACAACTAAAAACCGATGCAATGAGCTTGGAGGATCCTTACCAAATTCCTGAGGCCTTTTTAGCTTGGTTTCTGCAAGTGTTGACAAAAAAGAAACGACCTAATTAGGACCATGGTTTGGCTTGAGAAGTGAAGGAAGAGAGTGATGGTATGACAGTATCTAGCATTTCTGAAAAACTTATATATGTGTTACCTTGGCTTTCCTTCAAATGCATCGTTGATTTCATCACTGTCAGGCCTTTTTGGAAATGTTGACAAGATAATGTACTTCTCCTTCCTAGATGGGTCATCCACCCTCTTGTACAATTCATACCCGTATGGATAAGACATCCTGAAGTCACGAGGAATATTTAAGCTAGGAACATTAATACTGACATGCACACACATGCTAATCTTTGATTTGTAAATAGTAAACAAAATGTAAAGAATGTAATGTACACATAAAGGAAGAAAAGTTGAACAAAAAGATAATAATAATAAATTTTGGTCCTTTTGGAAATAGAGGACAACTCTAGGGGCTGTGCTATCCTAAGAAGCAGCGCACCGACACTCCAGGATGGATGCCATGTCCAACACGGCGAGGACACGTGTCGTGTCAATTTTTTTAATTATTATTATTTTTGTACGACACTTCATGGATACACCTTTGGACACCTTTGTAGGTTTTTTTATTTCTTTTAATTTATAATTTTAGAAAGTTACTTTGGGGTCAAGTAAAATATACAGAAATAAAGAGGGAAAAATAGAAAAATATAGAAACACACCAATATATACATCGGTGCCTCTCATATCTATGCAACCTAAATTTATGCTCCTATAGATACTAAATAAAAACTTTTGTTTGGCCATATCTCCACCGTGTTCACATTTTAATTTTTTGAGAATCGTTGTGTCCTGTGTTCGTACCCATGTGTGTCCATGCTTCTTAGGTGCTATCATACCTTACATGCATATTTATTACTTTTAACTCTTTTCCTCACAACAAGCCATTTTGTAAGACCTCCCTGCTTGTCAAAAGGTTATTTGTCAGAATGAAAATTACTTAGTATCATAAATTTTCATTGACTGAAACAACATATTAAACCAGTATCGTAAACATGTTGATGACTTTCTCACAGGTCGACTTTCATGAATTGTTTTGGGATTGCAATATTGTAGTACTTTCGCTCCAGTCCCTTTGTTTTTCATCTACCTAATGAATGATATTATGTTTTTTGGTTTGAGCAGAAAAAAAAACGTGGACAATTTTTTGGAATTTCTGATACAAAAGGATTTAAACTGTGTGCAGAGGGGAGGGAGAGAGAGAGTTTATCTGCACTTTCAACGAAATTTGCATCTGAAAAGTAACAAGAATTGCAATGATTCACCTGAGAGCGCCCATAATTGGATATTGAGTTCCTGCATAATAGAGAAGCCGGAAGTGATAGCAATGTTCAAATGATGCTGCATATTCCAATCTCTTGTCTCGACCCATTGTCTGGAGGACAAGTGGCACAGTCAGTACCAAAAGATATCAATCAATGTGTGTTACTATGGGTTCACTGGTTTTATTACTTACTTGCATGATACCACTTGAAGCAGGTAAATCCTGATTATGAGAACATTTCAAACAGAATTAGTAACACAACTAGACAAGTATTTGCATGATATTTTTGTCGGAATGTTGGTAGAAAAACCATTATTTGATGTCAAAAAGATCCCATGCTAGTCAGTGTGTTAAATATGTAACTCAAAGCAAAGAATGATTAAAGGAACCCAACAGAATTTCATGGTTCAAAAATAGAATTACATCGAAAAAATATCAAACCAAAGAAAAATTATATGTCGATTGTTCCAATTTTTGAGAAATTGGACAAAAAGAATTGGAAAGATATAAAATGTTCTGATATGCTAATATTTTAGCTGCCATTTTCAATGTTTTCTAATGATTGGTCCCCATAGAATGATACTTGGGTATCCTTTTATTTTCCTTGAACACTGGATGGTTTAATACAATTACATGATACAAAGAGTGGGAGATTTCTTGATGTTCACTGACAAAGGAACAGAAACGATAAATATTTCAGGTATGCAAAAAATTACAGAAATGAATTCAGATTGAGATTATGAAGGAACAAAACCTTGAGCCTAGGATTGATTAGAATTACTGGACGGTTACCAGCAGCGTCAGTCATAGCTCTTAGATCCTACATTATTTAACATGACAGCTTGTAAATGACGAGGGAAATTAAAGCCTGTGAAAGTAAAGGTGTCTTAAAGAGCATTTTTAAAAATTATGTTAAGTTCCTTACATCGATAATGCAATTTCCCACGGCATTTTGGGGAGCCACTAAAATAAACAAGTCATCTTGTTCAGTGACCTCTTTTCCGCCTGTGGAATAAAAATAAAATATATAGATATGGGCATCAAGACAATTGAGCATCAAACCAAGTAACACATGCAAAAAAAGATTCACAAAGTTGGCCTCTTAACTGTTCCTACGGTTTCAGAATTTAAGGTTCAAGCTTTTTTAGGAACGCTATTGTCACAATATTGGGGTTAGCAACCTGAGTGCATTAAGTACAAATATATCCAAGTAAAGCTATCCATAACATATTTGCATATAATTCCTATATAGCGCCTTATAACCCTTTTATGCTCCAATCTCCAAAATGTGGTATTTGAGTGTAAATTAAAACAAAGATATGACAATGACATGTTTATTTGTTCGTTTAGTATTGCTTTTATAATAATTATTTCTGGTTTGAGTCCAAAGAAAAATGTTGGGCTACACAAGTAGGGGTACCCCTCATCAGCCTACCCATAATGCTCCAACTCAAACGAAGGAGAGATTTAATGCCAGTCTAGTACAACTATCAAAAGACTTTACTAGCTAAATTAACTGGCACCTCCCAAGTATAGCATGAAAAACCAAAGAATTTTACCATATTAGCCTTGTAAAAAAATATGGCCTCTTATAGGATGTGTTCATGAATTATTGGTAAAAAGGCTATCAATGAACTGAAAAGAGGAGAAGAAAACTCACATATTGAATGAATCACAACTTCAAAGGTTAAGGATCCCAAAATTTTAAATAGGACAATGTTTTAAAAAATCTAGCGTACTATCAAATTTACCTTTCTAATGACTGCTAACATAATATTTTGTAGCACAACTTGGTAAGCATTATTTCACAAATTATCCTTCATATATCATATTTGTGCTAGAATGAGAGATAGACAATCTTTTGTGCGCATAATTATACTAAGTCCAATACCTATAGAACCTATGTTGATGAAGTTTCCCATTGCACCATAATCACCCCAGTCCATGTACTCCAATATTGTTCTGGTTCCAGCAAGCTGTAGTGCTTATGATTATAAGCGCTCCTTCTCCCATAGACCCTTGAACACAAACCTATAAAAACAGAATTCTGAACAACTCAATATATATAGGTCAGTTTTAAGTTTTTAACAACTTTGTAACTTAAATATGAAAAATTAGTGACCACAACTGAAGCAATTTATAGATAGGTTTACCTTGATGCGCTTTCCATCGTCAGCAAAATTTAAAGCTAGAACTCTTACAAGTTCCATTAGAGTACCTATTCGATAAACATCCTGCGCATCGTAAGATATGGTTAACTCTAAACAAATTATGGGGTAGACAAGTAAAATACGTCCCTCACCATTTCTGGGTTCAGCTCTGGGATATTGATCTCCACCTGTCAATTTTAAATAGCGATATAAGCTAAAATATTCACAACTACTGAACTTGATGGGTAAGTGTGGTTATACGAAGGAACATGCACTGTTTGCTTATGTCTCTCCGATGAATCACTAAGTTGGTTCTAATAGCACTCCAAAAAGTTATACTGATACCTCCAAAAATCGTACTGCCACACTATAGATAGCGTATGGAGTATGTTATCTGACACTACATTTTGTTTCCAGAAAAATGGAGCTTTATCCTGTCTTGTTTGGTTGAAATGCCTTATCCTCATAGGTTTCATGATAATAACATTCTAATAAATGCATACTGGCACGTGATGAACTCCTATTCTCCAAAACTTCTCTCATAAAAGTCAATAAAAGATGAGACGGTTAAAGTAACTTGGTATTATTTGTTTGCTCATATCTCACAGTTATTCATTGACAAGGGATATCAATGTTCATTAAATAACTAACTTCTATACTTTTAGTTCACATCTATGATCTCCAATACTTTTTAAAAAGAAAACAAACCATGATTCACTTGAAACAACAATAACTTTATTATTAAATATAATGATTTTATGAAGCCATAATATGCTAATTTCTCTGTTCACTAATGGGGTCGCCAATCAAAAGCTTGTTTAACAAATACCTGACCTTCAGTCGAGTTTTTCCATCATTTACGGCTCTCTGTGTAGCTTGGAGCACATCATCATAGAAATATTCCCTGATTTCCCTAGAGTGAGGAATATTATTCAATCTAGTAGGAATCCCTCTCCAAATTTCCTGTAGAAGGAAAAATCAAAATAACAAGAGCAAACTGACAAAAGTACTAGCCTTCTAATTACCTTTACATTTTCTGCTACTCCCATAGCAATGTAAAAGGGGAATTTTGGAGAAATTAAAGTTTTCAATGTATAGAATGATACCTGACTTGAAGGTTTTTGAAGTGCTGATTTTCCTAGGACAGATAAGAAACAGATGAAATTTGCCGAAACATAAAAGTTAAAATTACTCATGCTTAGATAAGGGAAAACCCCACCAGCTATTGTAAAGTCATGCTGGAGTTCTCTATTTAGGTCAAGTTTGGCTATCCTAAATAAGTACATACTTTTTATCTTTTTACCTTTTTTCCATCATATCATCTCTCTACTTTTCTACACATCTTTTCGTAAAAAGACAAAAAGTACACTTATTTAGGTCATCCCAAATAACCCCTTATATAGAGATCATCAGCCATCACATGTAAATGGTGTTACGTGAGAAATGCCAATTTTTTTTAGATAGTACATAAAATTAAAATAGCTAAAGCATATTGAGTACCTAAATAATATGTTATAACTATTATCATGTGAATGTACATAAACATGAAAGAGTTAGATCATCAAGACATTTTGTTCACATGAACTCATTTAAATAAATGTCACCCAAATGAGGAAAATTCATGTATCTGCTACTAATACCATGTGCTCACTTCCAGCTGTATATGAATAATTTTGCAGATAATCTTTAAACATCTGAATAAAGAATATGTAGCATAATTGTACAGACTGTGCTTCAATCCTAAAACCACGTACCTAATTTTGTTGTTTTTTCTTTCTCCTTCTGCACTTGACACAACAAAGAGTCTATATCTTTGAAAATTACTTCTTTTGGACGATTTCCATTAATCTATGAACATAAAGAAACAACTAAAAATCACAGTTTTGAATATAATATAATGCAAAAAAAAAAAAAAAAAAAAAAAAAAAAAAAAAAAAAAAAAAAAAGGAAAATGTATATATTGAGATGATTAGATTATGCAAACACCTTCTTCAATATATCCGTGTACGTTGATATGATTGCTTCAACATTCTGCTTATATATTTGCAGACGCGATTTCACCTAGAATCAATAATAAAGTTATATGTTAGAAGCCAACAGGAGTTTGAGGATCAGGTTAGATAACAAAAATAGATTACAATTTTCAGAACTAATAATTGCATGCTGAGATTTTACATAGATAATATTGTCCATTTCCTAAAAATAGCCTAGATGGTCTAAGCACAACTTTACATAGATCATAGTATCTAAGTACAGAATCATCTTGTGAGTTGACATACTTTTCCTAAATTAATACTGTCCATTTCAGAAATCATATGCAATTCCTTACCATCTCCTCAAGAAAATTCAATGCATCTGTAGTGAATTTGTAGGGCTAGATGTGATCTTTAAAGTTCCACCTAGATTTACTAATATATCTGTGCCAAGTTGTATTGTGAGATGGATAGTTCTAATCTTTTGGTTCAGATATATTGTAGCAAAACCATCCTGATTTTGAGATTATTTTATTCTCCTTTTTTTATTTTTCTCCTCTGATTCTAGGTTTCTAGTTATGCGGCCTATCAAAAAATGTTTCTAGTTATGTGGCATGGTAAGCTTAAAGGGTATATAACATCTTGCTGTATCAGTCATAGAAAAGGTATCACCTGTGTGCTCATTTCTGTTTGTGTTTTTTTGACAAGCCTAGCATCTAAGAAGCATGGACATGGACAAACGACACAGACACGTTGACAAGACAATTTTTGAAAAATAAAGGACATAATATGTGGGGAATAAGTGCAAAATATATTGTTTTATATATTTATTATGTCATTATATGAATACTTCGTTCAAGGATAATTAAAAATATACAACATAACATTAATTTCTAAAATTTAAAGGAGGATGGATTAATATGTATAAATCTACATTATATTTCTTTTATCATTGGAACCTAAATTATTTTGTTCAAACTTGTAATGTGTTTCGTAATTGTCTAAGCAATGGACACGTGCATCCCACAAGTGTCTTCAGTGTGTCAGGGTCTAAATATTTTACAAAATAATATGACAAATTTGGACATGTGTACAACACATGTCAGGAAGTGTTCGACAAGTGTCTACGTCCAAAACTTGTCCAAACTTCTTACCCTATCATCTTGATTGATCTTCTCTCTCTCTCTCTCTCTCTCTCTCTCAAAGTGAATATGTCAAAGTTGTTTTTGTTTGCTGCAAAGATTAGTTTGCATTATATTATAATAATATCACTTAAGAGTTGCTGGTTAAATTGATGGTACATCCATGTGAATTAACAAGCAATGAGTGACAGGAACATAAATTTAGATTATATATGTTGGGTAAACATACTTTTTCCTCTGTGTCATCAGGACGCGTTATGAGCCTTGCTTTAATCTCTTCGGTCTCTGGAGGGAAATTTTTTATATGGTAAATCTTCCCTGTTACAGGGTCCAGCCTTCTACCAACACATCTGTTGATTAGAATTTCATCAAGAACCTGAATATAAAGAGAGAACATTGCTGTAAAAGCTCAATTCTGTAAAAGTTTTAACAAATGGAGAAAAAAATTTGCAAACATTGCAATTAGAAAATTGAGTTAAAAAACTTTTAAGGCACTTCACAAATAGGACATGTTTGTGAAAATGTTTGTTTGATCTTCTGAAAGAATTAAAAAGACAAAATCACAGCTGAAATACTAGAATTTTTTTACTTTCAATTGCATATTCTGTGTGTACAATAGGACTTTTTTTCACCAATAAAAAGTTAAAATAAAAAAAAAGAAGCTGAAATGTTGAGAGGGATGTGTGGTAGAACAAAGAACAATAAATTTTAATGAACATGCAGGAGCTGGTGGAAGTAGCACCAACTAGAGATAAAAGAGAAATTGACATACATCCAATACAACGTAAATATCAGGTCTGATCTTCAGTTTTTCCAGACTCTGCGCTTGGTCAAAGCTTCGTGGGTATCCATCTAGGAGCCACCCTTTCTCTTTTACATCTTTTTGTGATAATCGGGTTGTCACCATCTACAAAAGAAAGTATTTGTTTCCTGTAACGCATGAAATGGAAAAGAGAAAAAGAAAACAAAAGTGGAGATCATGTCATACAGTTGTCACAATTTCATCAGGAACCAAACGACCCGTGCTCATGTATTCTTTTGCTTTATTCCCAATTTCTGTCCCAGCTGATACTTCAGCCCTTAGAAGATCTCCAGTTGATATATGCACCAAGCCAAACTGAAGAACCAAGAAGAAAGAGTCATGGATGGAAAATAAAGAAGATAGTGACAGTTTTGTAATAATGTACTAGCACACTGAGCATGCTTTAAGTAATAATGTAAGGGACGCGTGGCCATTTCATAGCACACTGAGCATGTGAAAACAGAAAAATGTAACTGTTGGGACTGGGACAAGTAGTATCTAATTTAAGCGTGGTTCTTAAAAAGTAAAAGTCAGATGAGATTTTAAAAAAAATATATATTTAATTTTTCCCCAAATGCGAGGATGTAGCTTTTGGAGATCCAAGGCATACTCCTCAAGGGTAGGGCTTCATGTCTTAAGTTACTCTTGTGTTTTTAAATTCTATTGCCTTAATCAGTAAAACCAATTTGAGCTGGTTTGCCCAATCTTTAACTGTTGTTACTTTAAAAATTAATAGTTTGTCTATTTGGTTATTATCTTTATTAAGAATGGTTGATAAAAAATATCTAAAAAAAAAATAAGATAAGATGGTGATTTTATATAGGAACCTTTGTTAACTTCTTACCTATTAAATTACGTGATTATCATTCAAAAAAACATTTTTTGTTGATTTAAGTCTAAATATTTTATATTCATAAGATATATTTAACATTTAAATGTGTAGATATATGTTTTTAAGCAATTTAGAAAAAGTGACCGAATCTTTACGATTCACGATTCGATTCGATTCGCGATTCGGTACGAGGCCATTTCGATTCACGATACGAATCCCGATTTGACAACTATGCACTGAGCATGTGAAAACAGAAAAATGTAACTGTTGGGACTGGGACAAGTAGTATCTAATTTAAGCGTGGTTCTTAAAAAGTAAAAGTCAGATGAGATTTTAAAAAAAATATATATTTAATTTTTCCCCAAATGCGAGGATGTAGCTTTTGGAGATCCAAGGCATACTCCTCAAGGGTAGGGCTTCATGTCTTAAGTTACTCTTGTGTTTTTAAATTCTATTGCCTTAATCAGTAAAACCAATTTGAGCTGGTTTGCCCAATCTTTCAATCACTGTTTGGTAAGATTTTGGCAATTGCTGTTAAAAATCTGAGCATAAAGTTTGGAAGGTAAAAAGTTTGCAGGGAATACAAAGTGCTATTTGGTTGTTTTTTCCCAGTGATGCTTTGTATAATGTTATTAATAATATTCTGAAATGAATCTTTGGAAGAACTTTAAAAATTATAATTTGCCAAATCAGTCGTGTACCCACCCCCTAGTGTTGTCCATATAGTTTTTCCTTCGCCACTTAGCCCCTTTTTCTTGAGTAGCACAAGGGAAAACAGAATGGTGAATAACTTCCTCAAAAGTCAAGCATAGAGATTTGAAAAAGAAACAAAAGCACTCATGTTCACAAGCATGATAATGATGCTCAGAGAATCCTACAAGAAACTCCAAGTCGCATAATATGGGTTTTGCCTTTTATGGACCCAATACATGAAAACTACAATAAATTAGACAAGCTTATAGAATTTTATGCCTATCAAGACTCTCCAAGTTAATGCCAATTCATTCTCAATAGTCAATACCAAATTACTAATATCTTTCTTCTAGAGAAGTATACAAAACCAACTCCAAGCAAGTGATGAATTTACAGAGAATAAATAAAGCAGCCAATACTCATTAGTATGAAGAACATTACTTCACCTTCTGAACAATCATCTCACATTGAGTCCCTTTCCCTGATGCTGGAGCCCCTGATATCATAACCTTTAATGGCTCAGTTTGCAAACACATCACTTTCATTCCCTGCTAAGCAAGACAGAGAGAGAGAGAGAGAGAGAGGCTTGGATCAACAAAATTTTCCCAACTAGGTTCTCACAAAGATTGCATTATGCAATAAATGGGTAGACAAATATGATCAAATTCACTTAATTTTTAAAGTAAAATGACCTAATTCTATCAATCTCTTCATTGATTTGCCCCTTCTTAATATAAAGCTTTCAATAAGACACAACACAACCATCACGGAACAATGCAAACCTTTCATTTACACTAATTTCATTGATAGAGCTATCAAAAATCTTCCTCTATTAACTTTCATATTCACATACATATATGCATTTGTGAAGTAAAATAACCTAATTCTATCAATCTCTTCACTGATTTTCCGCTTCTAAATATAAAGATTTAAAATGACCTAATTTTATCAATCTCTTCAAAAAATTTCCCCTTCTTAATATAAAGCTTGTGATAAGACACACCCATCAAGGCACAATGCAAACCTACCATCTACTCTATAATTTCATTGATATAGACATCAAAACCTTCCTCTATTAACATTCATATTCACATATATGTACACATTCGTAAAGTAAAATGACCTAAATTTATCAATCTCTTCACTGATTTTCCCCTTGTTAATATGAAGATTGTGATAAGACACACCCATCCATCACGGAACAATTCAAACCTATCATTTACACTATAATTTCATTCATACAGATATCAAAACCTTCCTCTGTCAAAATACATATTCACATACATGTATACATTTGTTAGGCTAACTGACCTAATTTTATCAATATCTTCACTGTTTTTCTTCTGGTTAATATCCATCTTGGAACACACAATTCAAACCTATCACTTACACTAAAATTTCAGTGATACAGATATCAAAATCTGCCTCTATTACATACAATTGGACATACATGTATACAATTTGTAAAGAACGTGACAAAGAGGAAAACTCCGAACCTTAGGTTTTAGGGTTGATTTCGAGTAGGAGTACTTGGAAACATGGAATGACAAGAGATGCTGCTGGGGAAGAGGAGATGAGATTACGGAGAGAGAAGAAGAAGAAGAAGAAGAAGAAGAAGAAGAAGAAGACGATGAAGACGATGATGATGATGAGAGAAAGGAGGTGTAAAGAGAGAAAGTACAGAGAGGAGGTGGAGAAGGGACATTGTTGCAGTGAATGGAAGTGGGTGAGTAGTTCAACATTGTCGTAGCTGAAGCAGAGAGAGAGAGAGAGAGATGGAACGAGTGGAAGAGGCGAGAGAAGGGCCAAAATTAACGGATAAACTGTTACCTAGACTCTACACGCGATCCCTTCCCTTGTTTAATTAATTTTGGGGAAATTACACAAAAAAAACCTCATAGTTTAGAGCCTTTTTCAAATTAAATCTCAAGTTTCAAATTGTGACAATTTGTATCCCATCATTTCATCCTTGTTGCAATCTGATCCCTCCATCCATCTCCGTCTCTATTAGTTAACGAAAGATTGATTTGGGCCCCAAAATTGCCCTAATCTTCACAATTTATGGCAAAAGACACCTCTCAATTGCGATTTACAGTTCCATGCAACCCACCTGGTGATTCAACTCGCGATTGAAGCCACGCATCGAAGGAAGACAACAATTTCATAGTTGATTTTCCAAAAAGCTTTGGACTCTGAGACAGAGGTAAGAAATGGGTTCGTTTTTAGTTGTTTTATACGGTTTTTCCCCTTTCTTTTTTCTCCATTGTTGACCTTCTATTTGTCTCTATTGTTGACCTTATTTTTCTCTCCATTGTTGACTTTGTTTTTGTCTGCATTGTTGACCTTCTTTTTCTCTCCATAGTCGTGCAAACTATTTTCTATTACATCAAAGTGAAAAACAAAAATGAGTGACGGTAATAGCTGGGGTGGGAACAATTAGGGTGAGTTGACTCGTTGCAGCTATGGGTTAAGAGTGAAGATCAGAACTTCGTGAACTCATGTTAATCCTGCTAGGAGGTTTTTGGGTTGTCCTAATTATGGAGTAAGTGTATTCAATTTTTCAGTATTTATAGAAAATTGAGAATAAAGTAATATGTTCAATTTGAAGAAGATAACAACTGTATAGAAGATTCACCTAAAGACAATTGCTCATTTGTTTATGTTTTATTGCAATTACAAAAAAATAGGGCTTGTGGTTTCTTTTCCTGATACAATCCACCCACATGTGCTCGTAGTAGACAAGTGTTGCCGAAGCTGATGGATAAGGTTGCAACACTAGAAGAATATATTAATGAGGTTGCACAATTAGAGGATGTTGTTCAACGTTATCGTGTATGACAGAAGTGGCTTGTCATTGCCTTGATTGCTACATTACTTATAGACGGACTATTTGTACTCCAAAATAGTGTTTAGGCTTGCTATGTAATTGATAATATGTGTTTTGGCTGGGTACATTACTTCACAATGTGTTTTGTAATTACAATGTTTTTGTTGAACAATGGCAATGTCAATTGTGTTTGATTTGAAATGGTGAAATGGTTTGTTGTCAATTGCAATTGCAATGCTTTTGTTTTGTAACGGGGAAATGCTTAGTGCATTGCTTTTGTTTTGTAATGATTAAATGTAAATAAAATGTTAGGTTTGAAATGGTTTGTGAAATGCTTTTGTTTTATAATTGCAATGCTTTTGTTATCAATTGATGAAATGGTTTTGTTTTGTAATGGTGAAATGGTTTTGTAATGGTTTGTCCCTAGCTTCAGCATGTTGTCCCTACATTCATGTACAATAATACTAACCATACAAGCATGGTCAAAATTGATAACCATACAAGCATATGAAACCTGGTTTGACATAAGCATAACAATCACAACAAAGCAAACATAAGAACCTGTTATTTTCATGAATGAACTTAGAACATAATTCAAGCCCACCAAACATTGGGGTTTCAACCATTTAACTATTGACGGATAATAACCATACAAGGATTGTTCAAGGTTTCATAACTCATATGTATAGCATAATTGTTCCAAAAGCCTATTTTAATTACAAAAGTGGTGAGTAAGGTAAGATAAACCACGAACATTCCTAAAGCCTCGTAAATATTGCAAAAACCCTATTTTAATTACAAAAGTGTTCAAAACCACTTGTTCACACTACATTGGCTGCCCATTGCTTGCTTGTCGCCAATGTCTGTTACTGCTGATCTTGTTATCTTCCTTGGTTGCCCATCAGTTATTTCTTCAACACCACTTACTGTTGATGGCCTTTTCCTAGATTGACAATCATCAGCTCGTGCATGGCTGCTCCCCTTTTCCCCAAATAATGCAGTTGTCCTAATGCCCATGAACGTCTGCAAAAGAAGTTTGTAATTAGTAACATGTATTATTTATTACTAACATAATGTTTATTTACTTCCATTCAATGGAATACTTACAGTAAGTACTATAGGATTTTCTAGAAGGTCCACTTGTTTTTCCTTTCACTGCACCCTTGCAAGTCCTTTGATTGCACTAAGGCATACATACATTCTCTGAAACCTAGGTTTAACTTCCAATTGAGGCCTCTACACATTTATGTCAATAGTAGTACCCTCATTGGTTCTTTTAAACTCAGCTGCATAATTCCATATCTTACTATATTGTTCAGCATTAGTTCCCTCAATCTTCTGAATTACTATTTTTTTGGCTCTATAAGTTTTCATTGCTGACACACTTACAACAAAATCCTCATTGATAGTTTCTTAAAACTTATTCACTTTCAATGTTAGGGTGGTCCTAAATTCTGGACATGTTTCTCTACCAACCAAGAAACTGTCATTTGTCTATTCTTGTAAGTTCTACAACAAGAGTGTTTAGGTTGATATGTTTTTATTTGCAAAGTGTTCTCACTAGTCATCTTGGATGCATATAGTCTCCATTCACACCCAGCACTACAATTCACTTGAACCTTTCATTTTTCACTCTTAATAAACTTCACATCATATCCTTCTTTTACTGAATATTCCTTGACAGCATCTTTGAACTCATTTGCAGTACTAAACAACATTCTTAGTTTGAATTCTATGTTTTGCATATCAACCTCAGGCCTAAATTCAGGGTACTTAGGCCTGTTATTATTCTCCTCATCATCAGAGCCTATAAGGGTAACCAGTTTTTCCTCAGATGAATCTGCATCATTCACTTCACACTCATCACCTTCTTTAAGCCCTTATTTATAAACATCTCTCTCAACATTACTATCAAACATGATGTCACCAAGCTTAGGATCATCATCATCACTACTATTTGAGAAATCTCTATATGATGGGTCATCATTGCCATCACTGTCAGTGTTTGAGTCCTCTTGATAGTGATCATTGTTGTAATTTCCATCATTTTCCACATCTTTCACAGGCACATCAGTAAGGAATAACACAGGATGAGCAATATTTACATTACGTGGCTTATGATGCTCAATAAACAGCTCTAAGATATTTGTATTTTCCAACAAAGAATACATTTCTCTAATATCATCATCATTAGCCAACACTCTTAACCCTAAGACCAAATTTTTGTTGGAAATCCTATAGAAAATATGCTTGTAATAAAAAACACCCAACTGCAACATGCAGCTAATCTCTAGGACAAATAATTTATCAACATCAACTGCATCAAATACATCCACATTACCCCCAACACAACTCCTTTCATCATTCTCAATAAAATAGCCACTGTGGTGTATCAAAACTTTAACAAAAGTTACCATTACTGCATCCATACATAAACAAAACAATAATGACAATAGCTATGGGTCCACTTGTAAAACAAAGCATATTAAAAAAACAAAACTCTCATATAAAACAACTTGGCCCACAATTCTCCATCTATGGAGACAAAATATGACAGAAAAGCAGACACAAAAAACCCTACAAAAATAACGGAGACCCTAGGACCACAATGTATTCAATGATACAGAGGCATGCATACAGTCGAAGACAAAAGCAATGTCACAAAGTAATAAACAATAAGTGTGCACCGACAATAGAGATAAAAACAATGTCATAAATGAATAATAAAAAAAAGAAGGTCAATAATGGAGACAAAAAGAAGGTCAACAATGCAGACAAAAAGAAAGGGGAAAACCCGTATAAAACAATCAAAAACAAACCCATTTCTTACCTCTGTCTCAGAGTCCAAAGCTTTTTGGAAAATCAACTATGAAATTGTTGTCTTCCGTCGATGCGTGGCTTCAATTGCAGGTTGAATCACCAGGTGGGTTGCATGGAGTTGTAAATCGCAATAGAAGGGTGTCTTTTGCCCTAAATCGTGAAGATAGGGTAATTTTGGCGCCCAAATCAGTCTTCCGTTAACTAATAGAGACAGAGATGGACAGGGAAATCGCATTACAACACGGATTGAATAGTGGGGTACAAATTGTCATAATTTAAAACCTAGGGTTTAATTTGAAAAATGTGCTAAACCCTGGAATTTTTTGTGTAATTTCCCCTTAAATTTTTTTTAAAATTATTATTCATTTATTTCATCATTTTATTTACTTCTTAGGTGTATGATACAATAAAAACGATGTGTGTATAAAGGATCCATATTATTTAATAAGGGCAGACTCTTTTTCACTCTAAGGCGGATTGGGAGGTATTATTAGGTCATGGTAAGTTTTAATACGGATTTATTTTGATAATTCAAATAGTTTAATGTGTAAAGCATGTTGACTACATTATTTCTGTAAAAAATTAAGTTGATTGAATATCGATAACTATTTGATCAAATCACATTTATGTCAATAATTTATTTTGAAAATTATTGGTGCCGTTTGGTAACACTTACGTTTTTAGTTTTTTGTTTATATTTATAAAAATTTAAAAAACTCAAATAAAAACTTGTTTGGTAAAAATTTTGATTTATAAATCAGTAGTCTCAGTTTATAAATTTGGCTAAAAAATAAAAACACAAAAAATGTGTTTTCGTTTTGAGTTTTGAATTTTATTTTTTTTTTACCACCCAACACTAGCAACCACCCGCTACCATTTTCCACCACCGTCTTCCGCCGCCGCCACCACCCACCCCTACCACCACCTGCCACCACCATTCACCACCCACCACCCGCCACCACCAGCCACCCACCACCACCAGCCACCTGTCACCCACCACCACTAGCCACCTGCCACCCACCCATCACCACTATC